CCCTCTCGGGTTGTATGTTTCGTCTCAGAAGTGATTTGTTTCAAAACATTTGTTACTGTGTTGGGATGAGTTCCATTTTAGGTTGTTTTTCAAACAGTTTATATCTCTTACAATCTCCGGTGCCTCAGCTTCTGGTTCATTCGTTTGCAGAAGGCATACCTGTATTCTGTAGTTCAGTCACATAAATTTTCTATGTATAGATCATTATTTTCCTTTGAAGTTGTTTATAAGAACAATAAAAATTGTGCTGGAAACAGTTTTATGTATACTTCTCTTCCATTGCTGCAACTTTTTCTTTCTGGATAAAAATTTGAAAATTAATGTGTACCTTCCCATAGTTGCCAAAATGTCTATTTTCAAGTTTAAGCATTCTTGAAGCTAGCTCGTTAATCGTAAGAGATTATAGAAAACCCTTAGTACAACATATGTATTCACGATGAAGGAGACTACGAACCGTATATTTAAGCTTTGAATTACTTTTAGGATCTTAGTAGATTCGTTGGTAATTATTTTTGTGTTAAAAAAATATCTCTAATAATAATGTGTTAAGGCCTAGATATAGAAATTTCAGATTTCAACTCTAATATTGAAAAAGAAAATTGCAAAATGATTGACAAATGGAATGAAGGTACTTGTAATGTGGGATTATGTATCATCATAGGGAAACATAAAATTCTTTAATTATTAAAAATTTTACGTACAACAAGAACTTTGAATTTTTCTATTAAAAAAAAAAGAACTTTGAATTTTAATATTTTTATTAGTGGGTTTAGTGCTGGGATCTTGCAATATAATTATTATTCATGATAGCATAGAAAATAAAAATTAATTTCAGTTTTATGTGTGATGGACAAAGTTTTTTCTTTTCTTTTTTTTCTTTGGCAAAGGTCAAAGAAGACACAATCAAAGTCAATTTGAACAAACCAACGACCCAAAGGAAACAATGAAGCAATTGTTCCTCACTTTCCCCGAAACAATCAATTTATTTATTGGGAATGTGGAAAATTTGGACAACCTAAACAGTAAACAGGTTTGTCTTTTTGAAACAAATATTTTCATATATTTTAAAACAATAATTGATTAGATGTCTCAATAATTATTTAAAGACTATTTAAAATATTAAATATTTTATGTATTCAGCCGTGAGGTTAAAATTTCGAATCCTCACCGATATATGTTATATCGAAAAAAAGAAAAGATTTAAAAAAAAAAAGAATTGATATGTTTCCTATGCCATTTTTTAAACAAACGTAACTTCAATAAACTAAAAAAATTCAAGGGCAACAAACCATCCATCGCGTTTTCAACAAACTAAACTTAAGCGATGATGCACGAAGAAAAAGTTTGGCCAGTAGGTGTGCCGAGCGATTCCCTCCCTACGGCCGTGCAGAAGTCATTTATTCCTACGATCGTATAGAAGTCATTTATTCCCACGTTATATTATGTGATTTCTTCTTTAATTAGGCCCCAACATTTTTTCTAATTAAGTTTAGTTTCTAGGCGGTAGTTCATTGCAAGTAGCAACAAGTTGGTCTCATGAAATGAGCCAATTAGATAAAATAAGGACAAATACGAGTAAAGAAAAGAAAAAAAAAAGAGTTAAAATTTAAAAGAACTTCGTTGTCTATACAATTGTATTTTTTTAGTCCACCTGTCTTTATTTTGTCTAGATATATTCTTTTTCTTAATATCATGTTTTACTCAATCATCACTTGTCAGTTCAGTCAATTAGATTAACTTCCAACGGAATTAATTAAGGTATTATATATTAGCAACTCTTTGTTCAAATCCTTTACAAAATAATACAAAAGAAAACTTGAAACTTTTTAAAATTAAGAGGACTAAAATGAAGGTTTGGGATGGAAACCAATTAGAAAAGTTTGGATTTGAGAGTGAGAGAAAGATAAGGGAGTGGGTCCCAATTGTGAGCCACAAAGAAGACAAAGAAGAAGCAGTCATGGGATTGGAACACCCAAATCATGGCTCTTCCTCTTCCCATGTTCCATGTCTGTTTCGACAAGCCAGACAGGTGGGCCCCACCCATGTCCGCCATTACTAACTCATCTATCAACCACGGTGGGACCCATGTTCGTTCTCGAGAAATTATTGGAAGAGATCCCTACCTACAATGCATGGTAAAACTTATATTGTCTTTATTCACACGATCATTTTACCTTTATAAATAATGATTTAATGTTAGTGCACTTCACACTATCATGGTACATTTTTTTCTATAATATAACTTATGGTTTTACATTTTTTTAGTACAACAAAATGTGGGAGTATGAATTCGAATCCACGGTCGGGATTACATCCTTATTAGTTTAGCTACATTCAGATTAACCGTAGGTAATTTTACATCGTTAATAATATGAGAGAGAAATTAAAAAACAATTACAAATTTATATATGATGGTTGTTAGGGAGCATATAAGAAAAGCATTAGCTAATTGTCATGTTAATAGGAAAAATGTGGCAGATTGGAATAAAAACATCCTGTAACAGTTGACACAATTCCTTAGATTTGACCGTTTCATAATATTCATATAAATTAAAACTCTCAAAGGGACTGAATTGAAGTAAAACTCAAATTATAGAGACTAAATTAAGATTAAGATAAATGAGTAGGACAAACATGATAATTTAACCGAAAAAAGAAAATAAACGGAGGATTAAATTAAATGTTGCATTACCTAAATATATTTGTGTTTGGCCTAATTTGGTTCCTCCCGTTTTAAATGTTTCATTTTTGTTCTTATAGGGTTTGGTTAAATTTCCAAAAACATATTTTCTATGAGTAGATATTAACAATTTGGTTAAATTATCCTGCCACGTTGTTCTCTCAGTCAGGATTTTGATACCCGTTTTGGCTCCACAATTATCAACATTACTTTATAGTCCATGCTAGCTCGTCATCACCTAGGTCCAAACAAATATATCAATTAATGAAAGTTTTCACGAGTAATAGTAGAGACATGTTTCGGAAGATTTAACACAATTATAGGGATCAAAATAATAATTCAACAAAAAAAACCCATTTTTTCTCTCTATTTTATTAATCTATGGTCAATTTTTATTTGTTTAAAACATGTTTTATGTATTTGATGGAGAAAATCATTCAAAATTCCTATTATCACAAAGAAAAAGAATATTCATAACTCAAAAAGTCAGCGTAGTAACATTTTTTCTTTTGATTTCACTCAAAAAGTCTTATATTAATGAAATAATTATCTTCATCTATATACTATGAATCAACCTCGTAGTTAATTAATGTTAGATTTTGTTTGTACTTCTCACGGGAGCGACACTTGCATTCGAGGAAAAAGAAAAACAAAGAAGTCAAAGCTTTACTTTTCCTCTTACTTGAAAAAAAGGTTGAGAATGTTTTGTTGGACCAAACACACATAACCAAAATTATATATTACATATTATATGCAGCTGCCATAAGAATGAGTCCATTCTAATCTCATAAGTTACATTATGCTAAATTATTATTTCTTTGATTTCGATATATTCTATCTTCGGTCATTAGTCGCTAAATTAAAATGGGTAAAATATATTTTTAGTGAGTGAGTTTGAAGATACGTTTCTATTTGGTTTATAAGTTTCAAAAACTGAGACTTTAGTCTCCAACCTTTAGAAAATGGTTTTAAATAGTTTCTGGGAACAAACTAACGGTAGTGTATTTAACATAAAAATGATGTGGTAGTTAAATCAACGAATTTGGAATAGTCGGGCCTTCACGATTAGACCTTGCGACTTTGTTTCCTCTAGGTCTGAAATTTTCTAATCTAAAACCATATCTTTACCGTTTAGGTCTAAAAGGAAGAAGTCGATTTGGCTCGAGAGAAAGAAGAAAACGAGAGGATAGTCAGCGGCGAACTGATTGAGGATCAGAAGCATGGCGGTGGTGGCGGCAACAAAAATAGCAACGATAGCGGCCACATGGGTAGCGACAATGGCGGCGGCGGTTGGTAAGCTCGTAGCAACTATGGAGGGAGAACGACGGGGAGGGAGAAAGGAAAGAAGAGAGAGGGGAGGAAAAGAAGAGAAAAGAAAAGAGACGGAAAATACCTAGCTAGTCTTGAAATGAATATAAAATAAATATATTTTAACCACTCATCTAAAAAATTCTAGCAGGTGCGTCCCACTTATCGATTTAACTGTCACATCATTTTTTTTTAAATGCATTAATGTCAATTTGTTCTCAGAATTATTTTGAGTCATTTTCTAAATAGAAACTTATCTTCTAACTCGAACACTAAAAATATATTTTACTCAATTAAAATTAATCAGTATATATAATATCATTTTATCGTGTATTGTTTTCAATGCTAAAAGTTTGTTACTAATTTTTTTTCTCCAAAGGAAATGGTCCTAAAATGTTCACAATCATGTTTTTTTTTCCTAAATAAATTTAGAAATAAGTTGACTTCCACATTGTCTTGAGTGGACCAATATAGGTCATGCTATGACTATTATTTTGTTTGAAAACTTGAAAAAAAATTACAAATGAAAGCATGCTTATGAGTTGGACTTCTTGTTTCCTATTGAATTTGTGTTATTCAATTTTCAAAAATTGAATTCATATATATGTACTTATTTTCTTGACCAACAAGTTATTGTTAGACTATCAATGTCATAATTTTCTTGACCAACAAGTTATCATTTGACTATTAATGTCACTTCAATTTAAATAGAGAGATAAATATTTAACTTTAAACATTCCAATCCATAATTGATTAATTAATTAGATAGAGAGATAAATTATAGTTACTTTATTTAATTAATTAGTACTTAGCCCATTCCAACCTAACTTATTAGTAAATAATAATTGATTGTCTTCCTTAATCATATAACTAGTAGGAAATTTTCCAATTACGTACTCAAATATTAACTAAGATTTAGAGTTACTTGACTTGTTCTATGGCTAAATTTTGTCCAAAGTTTGAGTTTGAGTTTGACGATGTTCATAGTTTGAACCAACAAACAATCACTCAACAATGACAAAATTCAACACAATTTATGAAATTATATTCAAGGCAAGTAAGTTCTTGCTAGTTTCGAGGTCTCTTCTCTAAGAGGTAAAATAGAAATTTCATCCCATAAAAACTATAATTAGAATTAACAATATATACATGTTTGTTAATATATATATTTTTTCAAATCAAGCATTAGGGTTTCTAGATATATAATATATATTTCACCTACTCTATCATACTCTCTCATATAAATATGATAAGAATGTTTTTTTTTTTTGACAGGGAAA